CTGCGGGGAGAAAGGAACCCTTCTCCACTGCTGTTGGGAGTGCAGACTGGTGCAACCACTGTAGAAATCAGTATGGAGATACCTCAAAGATCTAGGCCTAGAGGTCCCATTTGACCCAGCTATTCCCCTGCTGGGTATCTTTCCCAAAGAATTAAAAGAATCATACCACAGCGATATATGTGCACCCATGTTCATAGCGGCACAGTTTGTAATAGCTAAAGCTTGGAAACAGCCTAAGTGCCCATCAACTGGAAACTGGATAAAGAAGATGTGGGGTTTTTTTATAAAATGGACTACTACTCAGCCATAAAGAATGAGAAACTAGAGATATTTATAGCTAAATGGTTGCATATTGAGGCCATACTCTTAAGTGAAATAAATAGGACACATATGTGTAAATACCAAATAGTTTCTCTAGTGTGAGAAACTGAAAGTGTAAATAAGGATTAAAATGAATAATACATAATTTGAAATAGGAAAAGGTCCAAAGGTGTAGGGGTGGTGGAAGGGGAAGAGGAAAGGGAAGACAGGAAAGGAAAAATTATGAGAAAAGAAAAAAAATGGAAACGAAATCAATGTAAATAGGGAAGGTTGGAGGGGGTGAAGGGTGCACAGGTAATGCGGAAAAAAATAAGAACCAAGATACATCACGTACAGGTACAAACACCCAATGATAAATCTAAACATATTATATACCTAAAATGTACCAATAAAAGAATGGTTTTTTTTGTTCTTTTTTTTTTTTTTGTACCGGGGATTGAACTTGGGTCCTTGTGCTTTCGCAGCAGGCAGTGAAACCACTGAGCTAAATCCCCGGCTCACCAATAAAAGAATTTAAAAGAAAAAAAATGACAAAATATTTGAACAAACACCTCACAGATGGTAAATAAGCACATGAAAAATATTCAGATCATTCATATTAGGGAAATGTAGATTAAAATCCCAGTGAGAGCGAGACTGAAATCTTAGATCTTCTGGTGGATGTGAAAAATGGTAAAAATTATTTTGGGAACCAGTTTGGCAGTCTTAAAAATCAAAACACAGCTGGGAGTGGTGGCGCACACCTGTAATCCCAGCATTTGGGAGACTGAAGCAGGAGTATCACCTTGAGTTTGAGGCCAGCCTGGGCTACATAGTGGGTTCGAGGCCAGCCTGAACTACCTAGCAAGACCATCTGAAAAAAAAAAAAATCAAAACATACCTTCCTTATGTTGACTGAGAATAAAATCAGTGTAATCAAGAACAAAGAAGCTGGGCCTGGTGGTGCATGTCTGTAATCTCAGCAGTTAGGAGGCTGAGGCAGGAAGATTGCAGCAAGTTCGGGGCCAGCCTGGGCTAGATAGTGAGACCCTGTCTCAAAAAAAGGAAAAAAAAAAGAACAAAGAAAATCACATTCATCTGGGGGCTAGAGTTGTAATCTAGGAAAACAGTCTTGGAAATGTGCTCCCAGGTTTTACAAAATGGTGGCTGTGTTTATAGCTTTAAACAGGAAGGAGGTTGGAAATGACCTCACCTGTTCAGAATTCTGACTGGAGCTGGCAGAAGCGAAGCCTTGTGTAAGAAAGGGATCAGGTGTGGTCTCAGTGTCTGGAGAGTTCGGAGAGGGGCCCACTGCACAGATCAGTGCACCCACCAACCTTCAGGAGTCTGCGCTGAACCTGGTCCACCCTCCTGGGGGGTGCAGCCCAGTTGAGGGTGCAGCGTGACTGAGAGCTGATTAAAGACAGCCTCCCACTCCGTTTTAAGGTTCCCAAACCAATTGTGTTAGTTTTATTTTTGTTTGTTTATTTTTAATTTTTTAATTTTTTTGGTACTGGGGATCAAACTCGGGACCTTGCACTTGTCAGGCAGGCAGCAGAACCACTGAGCTAAATCCCTGGCCCCTCTTTGTTTTTATTTTTACTTTTTTTGAGACAGGGTCTCGTTTTGCAGTTCAGGCTGGCCTTGAACTCCCAATATTCTCCTGGCTCAGCCTCTCAATGCCGGGATTACAAAGAATTGGACACAGCACACAACAGTAAGGAAACAACACCAAAGTTTAATCAGGCGACAGCACCTTTAGTAAGAAGGCTCCTGCCTGCAGAAAGGAAAATGGCATGAGCTCTGAAGGTGTTGGCTTTAAGAATTTTAAATGTTGCACCAGGTCTAGGAAGCCTCCCATTGGGTCTTCCAGAGCATGACTGACAAGATGATTGACAGGTTCTGAGTCATGTCAGCTGTGTCTACTGCGCATGTCGTTTCCCAAAATTCAGTTATAATTGGATGCATGTGATGCAGTCCATATGCATGATCATCAGTGAGCTCCAAGTGAAGGAAGGTTACTATAAGGAATAAAGGAGGATCTGGCATGCATGTGTCCTGGTATGGGATTTTGAAATTTTTAGGGCAGACTGAGGGGTCTTTGTTTTTTAATCTCTGCATCCTGGTAGGTAGTAGGCCTTAGGACAAAGGTCAGAGGGATGGCCCTGGGGTTTCCCAGGTTCAGGTGGGTGGAGGGGAGTGGGTCCATAGGCCCAATTGTGCTATTATTCGTTCTAATCTTAAAGCACTGGGTGTTCAGTGAAAAGCCTGAAGTATTTACTACCTCAATTTGCTGGAACGTAAAATCCCAAATTTTTCCTTCCATGCACCTAGCATCTGCTGAAACTGCTCAGTGTTTCATCTTTTGGGGCCTCTTGTAATCCTGCCTTCTTTGTGCAGTGAGGAGTAGCTGAGAATTTGAGGGGAGTATGTAAATCTGTGGCTTCCTTTCTGAGATTTTCCTCCTTCACCTTCCAGGTACTCAGGTGGGCCTGACCTGGCCCTCAGCTTCGTAAGGCTGCTGTCAGGTGAAAGGCCGAAGACCAAGACCAGACCAGGCCAGAACAAGCCTTAATAGGGGAACAGATCTGCTGAGCTGTCTCTGAACAAAGGAGAGACAAAAACAATATGGCTGGGGCAGGAGGAGTCTTTTATAGAGACTGGGTTGGGGTTTGTAGGGGCTGAGGCAGGGTTGAGTGAGGTAGTGACTAGGGAATGGAGGACCGGGGATATCACTAGTAGTAGGAGGTGAGCGAGTATTAGGTTACTCTCTAGGTGGGAACAGGGGCATGCTGGGAAGAAGGGTTCTTTGGTGGGAGCAACCATCTTGGCATGACGTTACACAGGGGAGGGGGCAAGGCACGTTAGGAAGAGGGCAGCTACTATACAGAATAGGGGCTGAGGTAGTGGGAGACCTATCAGCTGCTACCCGTTTTATTCCCTGGGAACCACAAGAGGAACAATCACTAAAGTGAGGATGTTTCTCTTTTTTTTTTTGGTACCGGTGATCAAACAAGGTTTTGGACCTTGCATTTGTGAGGCAGGTGCGGTGCCATGTTTCTCTTCTTTTGATGGCTGAGCCCTCTCTCCTTGTCTCTGGTCAGTTCCAGTGAATTTCAACCGTGTTTGTAATTATCAACAGTAGATTAATCTGATATAAACTGCTGTGCCCTTACTAGAAGAGAAATTATAATCAACTAAATCTTTAAAAAATTTATTTGGAGATAGGCTTCCTACACAGTTTAGATTGGCTCTGACTGGGCTGGGGATTTAGCTCAGTGGTTCCGCCACCTGCCTTGCAAGCGAAAGGACCCGAGTTTGATCCCTGGTACCAAAAAAAAAAAAAAAAAAAAAAAAAAAATTGGCTCTGAAGTCACCATGATTCCCTGAAAATAAGACCTAACTGGAGATAAAAAAAATAGCCTATCCTTGCCTTACCTGCCATTAGTGGCCACTGAGCAAGAGAGTATTTCATGCAGTGTCTGCATGGCACTGGCCATCACCATAGTATTGACTAACTGGGTTGCTAGGTCATTCCACTTGGGGTCTCATTTCCAGAAACACGGTATGTAGCCCAGGCTGGCTGCGAACTTGTGCTGATCCTCCTGTCTCAGGCTATGTTGCAGGTGTGCATCCCATGCCCGGCTTTTAATTGTTAGTTGAATGAAGTTCAACTTCCTTTTATCTTGCTGAAGGTTACACAAATGCTTTCACTTTGTGACAATCCACCAGTGTGTCTGTACTTTTGTGTACATGGTACACTTTTATGAGAAAACCCTCATGTTGTGTCTGTCAGCACCTAGCTCAAATGCTCAGAGACTTTGTGTTCCCAGGTTGAACCCAGTCCCTCCCAACTCTCCTGGTCACAACTGGCCAGCAGGTCCAGTGAGGTTCACTCCATGGTCTCCCCCGACTCCATAGGCTTCACCTGAAGCGTGTTTCCTTGCAGCGGCCTTTCTGGCCCACCAAACCCCTCCTCAAGTGTCCTCTGGGGTGCTGTCGCAGCAACCTCCACCTCAGGGTGCACTGATCACATCAGGTTGACTTAACAGCAAGAACCCTACCCTACCTTTCACTTTTGGGGGTGCCATCTTGAACAGGCCCTGGTAGCTGTCCAGAAACTCAGAGACAAGGAAAAGCCCGAGTCTCTCAGAGTGCCACCTTGCCTCGAGGCTCCCTCTCCCACTTCGACTGTTGGCTGGGGACTGTCTGCAAAGGGCAGGTTCCAGAGACTGGGGGCCTGGTGGGGGGCTGCATGCTAGCCTGACTGCCATCAGAACTCAGAACTTGGGGCAGGGATTTAGCTCAGTGGTTTCGCCGCCTGCCTTGCAAGTGCAAGGACCCGAGTTTGATCCCCGGTACCAAAAAAAAGAACTCAAAACTGACTGCCATCAGAGCCTAGCTCCAAGGTCAAGCTCCAACTTCAGGTAACACCTTCCACTCTTGTTAGGATTTTCGACTTCAATTTGCTCTTCCTAGACATAAAAGCTGAATGAAAACTGAGCATGGTGGCACACAACCTGTAATCCCAGCACTTGGGAGGCTGAGGCCAGGAGGGTTGCTGTGTGTTCAAGGCCATCTTGGGCTACATAGTAAGTTCAAGGCCAGCTTGAATTATAGAGTGAGACCCTGTCTCAAAAAACCCCCAAACAAACAAAACGAAACAACACCAACAACACAAAAATGACTGACCAGACAGATTTAAAGAAGAGAGGAAAAAGTTTATTGTGTTGAGCAGACCTTATTTTCATTACAGTATCAAGAAATTCTTTCTCAGTTCCCTTTGGATGCAGAGACCCTACAGACTTAAACCCCAAAGCTGTTCCTGAGCATGGGGCAGCACCTGAACACATGTTGAATTTAATGGGACAGAATTACAGTAAGGTTGATACTTATAAAGATTGTTAAAACATTATTTCTTTAAAAATCCTAACCTTTGTCTCAGTTTTCCCTTGTTTACCTTATTTCTGTGTTAACTATTTGGAAAATATGGTACAGTACTTGATAACTTTTTGTTCCAAATCGTCAACATTTGGTTAAGTGTATTTTGCTTTTTGTTGCTGTTACAGTTCCTCTGCAACTCTCAATAGTAATAAGTAAGGCAATGCCGAAACACAAGTGGGAGGAAGGCCTTGGATCTGTACCCCATGCTATGTCCCACTTGCCCTGCCACAGCTGCCTCTGTGTTGCTAGGGAACTGGGAATGCTCAGAAGGGGGCCTCTTGTTTGCAAAAATCATTACCATGGACTTTAAACTTTACAGATTACTTCTAGGGGGCGTGCAGTTGCTTGAAGTCGATTTTGTGGTTTGTTTTTGTAAACTGTCAGCACTCAGTGACACCGTGAGGGAGTGGGAGCCTCTGCTCCATTCACTGACTCATTGCGCATGGAGTACAGAAGCAGTTTCTGTATTATATGGAGAAATAAAACAAATAATGAGAAGTGTACATCCACTAGATACTCTGAAATCTCAGCAATGACCTGAGCTAATCATAAATTCAATCAGGTAATGAACAAAGTCCTAATTTAGATCCTTTCTTCACTACATTAAGGCAGAGAAAACAAGACTTTAAATAAATAGTTACCCTACCAAACTAAGCCTATGACAAGCTATATTTGATTCTGATTACTGCCAGAAAATGACCCCGTAAAATCAGGTACTTAAAAAGTTAATTATTAAAATTAAACAATGGTATACATACTTAAATAACTTTGCACATGATATATTCTCCATTTTTTAATTCACCCTTCACTTTTGTTACCGAGACAAAGTTTCCATCAAGTGTCTTTACCAATACACTTCCCTTTCAGTGAAATTCTATCCAGGAAAAATGGACCAGAATTCCCTTGTAACTCTTGAGTTGAATTATTTCTTTTATTCATTTAAGCCAAATTCAGAACAGCAAGTTTAGAAAAAGACTGCTTTCATGGACCTACATGTACTCATTGGGGAAAGTGGGGAGGAGAGGAGCCATTCTCTGCTGTGTGAGTGGTGTCCAACCTGCATAAGACAATATGGTGTCAGTAAAGTACACTTCCCAGCTAAAGGGAGCTTAGAGATTTCCTTCCTTCCTCTCACCTGGGCTAGTCTCTTCTAAAAATTGTACTCCCCTCTCTAGCTCTCAGCCCTTCATAAAAGTTGTTCAGGCAGAGCCTTAAGGTTCAGAACATAAAGATGTGTAAACAGCAGAGGAAATTAAGCTCCCTTTACAGAAATTGTCTTAATATATTCAATATGTCATCTATGCTATCTCAAGAGTTGAGCTCAAAATACACGGGCCACTGTGAAGCCTGTGCACTTAGTATATGCAACACCTGAATGCTCAATCTGAAATGCAATTTTTGACAGACTCTCAGCCTCACCAGTCTTACTGAAAATCCACATGTCATTGCTCTCAATGTGCTAAGTACTCAGTACACTTTAACCAAACCCAGGTGGCCAGAGACCCTGACCATGGCACACCCCCAGAAGCAGGCTGTGACAGGTTCTGATCTCAAACACACTGCTCACAGAACAAAAAAACAGGTTCCCATTACTGCATGTCATTCTGACACATCACATTATTTCATATCACTCTGCTGATTCAGAAAGGGAAATTTCCACTATGGCATGATGAGAAATATAAATCCATTATTCACAAAGGCTACGAACAATGCACTGTGACAGTTTCCAGAAGCTTGAACTTTCAGAGCTATCAGTTTCTGCTTCTGGAGAAAACAAACTATTCCAAGGCACAGTATATGTTCTCAGAGCAGACAGGACAGATAGAGCAACCAGGACTACATTACAGTGGTACCACCATTCCCCGGGCACTGGTTAATGTGGAAAGGGGATTATGCTACATAAGGAAAGAAAGAGATTGGCAGAAGGAGGGGCCTAGACTTCCTCAGAATTAAGCTTGTATCATTCAGTCAACTACTGATAAGGCTTATGTCACGGCGGTAACAGATACAGACCATCAGTGACACCAGGAAACACACCCTACAGAGAATGTATGTATTTTAAAAACGCTGTACCTTTTATGTAGAATATTCATGAGAGTTGTTAAAAGGCAGGGTGAAAGCTGGCTAGTGGAATCAGCATTTAAAAGCATATCCCACTGGCCAGGGATTTAGCTCAGTGGTTCCACTGGTCTGATCCCTGGTACCAAAAAACAAAACAAAACAAAACAAAAGCATATCCCACTGACTTGAGTATTTCCTGCTCAGCCTCCCAGACAGCGCCCTGGGGAAAAGGTACTTTTCTGCCTACAATTCTGGACAGCAGCTGCAGCCTCTCTGAAAGCTTAATTAAATGTGAAGATGAAGCCTGAACAAAAGTTTCTTGATGTCACAATCTTATCCCTTTAACTGCTTGACCCAGATTAGGGCTGGGCAGGGAGAAACTATGCCACAGCCTTTCTCCCTTCCTCAACTTCTTATGAAATTATGAAAGCAAAGTCAAAAGGTCCTTCAGAGCTAGACATGATGGCACATACTTGTAATCCCAGCACTTGGGAGGCTCATGAGCTCCAGGTCAGCTTTTCAGCCTGGGCTACATAGGAAGATCCTGCCTCAAGGACCAAGAACCAAAACCAAACCAACACAAAACAACAACAAAAACTTCTTGAGACTGTGAGGCTCCTAAGCTACCTTTTGCATCTGAAAATGGAAAAGATAAATTATTGATATTTGGAGTAACACTGTGGTTTAAAAAGAAAAGTGCACATCAATGGCTTAGAAGGGAGTAAAGACTTAGCTATCCACTTGCACCTGTTCCTATTTTTCTGTTTTTATGTGGGGAAGGGGATAAAACCTAAGGCCTCACTATGCTAGTAAGCACTTTCACCAAGCTCTCTGCCATCCTTATTTTTAAAAAGTGGGCAAAATAGGAACAACAAGTCCATGTGAACTGGAAGGCAGGTGCAGTGTTCATGCTGCTGAACCAACAACACACTGAGGACCTTTGCCCATCCTCAGCCACGCCTCCTCCTCCAGGGGCAATGCTGGGCAGTGAAGGAAAGACACAAAGAAACAGCTAAGGGGCTGACAGTGCTTCGTGGTGCAACTACAGCACAACAGAACTGCTGTGAACTCTACTAATTTCTGCAAGCCAAAGGCAATCACAGAGCTAAAACAAAAGGAACACAGGACACTATACAAAAAAGCATGAGTTCATAGTCAGAATCCTTCCTGGTCTTAGACCTGGTACCACTTTGTTGAGAAAAATCCAAGCCAACTGCCTCTGAGTCTAAGAAAATGCTATGTAGGAAAGAGAAAAAGATGAGGTGACTGTCTGGAGGGAGCCCAAGTCCCCTGAGATGGATCACTAGGTCACTAGGGGCTTGGGACGGCTATGTCCAGTCAGGAAATGGTTGACAGACTTTAAAAAAAAAGAAAATGGAAAGAAAAAGCAAAGACTTTCACAAATACAAAAACTGTTTACAAAACAATTACCTAAGAAAGTTCACTGGGACTGGGTGGGGAATAAGGGTTTCATTTCATATTAGCCACAATGGTAATGATGGTTTATAAAAGAGAACCAGCAAATTCTAATCTTCCTCCCCCAACACCCCTGAGCCCTCCTATGCCTATTTTCTCTACCTTTACCCCAATCAACCATTCCCATCTGTCCCAAAATTAATTTGCTTACCCACTGTACTGAGCCAACCCTGAAGATACACAATTGCTGATTTGGTTTTGATTGAACAATGGACCTAGCACTTTGGAAGAGATGGGGGGAGGGGCACAGGGGAAGTGTTGGTATAAATTTCCAGGTTTGTGGGCCTTGGACAAAGCTTCTGCCAGCCTGAACCACACTGGGTGGGCATCTGAGGTGCAGCCTGAGCTGCAGGTAAACTGAGGTAAGGAAGAACATGGCAGCTCTATTGGCCTCCTTCCTAGGATAGTGCAGCATGTGTGTGCTCTTGGATGTGGGCTCCAAAAGATTCATCTTCCTGCTGCCGCCGCTGCCATTTCTTCCTCTGGTGAGAAGACTGCTCTTTACAGAGTCCCAAAAGATCAGCCACTTTTCTTCCTCTGAGGTACAAATCCAATAGAGCCCTGACCCCGAAGATCCAGTGCCCATTGGTGTGCAGAAGTCAAAATCAAATGCTCAGCATCAAAAGGGCTGGCACACCTGCCCAGTGAGTTTATCAGCAGTTGTATAGACAGAACAGAAAAAACTAGCATTTAGTATAAAAACTGTTTTTCAATGTTGCCACTTCCTATCTTCCTCCACAGATCATAATTCTTCACGTCGTGTCTGAGATGCTGTAGGAAAGGAGAATAATGGAAAATAGATTATCCTCAAGTTATAAAAATATGGAGTGGGTATTTTACCCCTACTTTCATTTTGACTCCCTTTTAAAATTTTATTTTATTTTTTTGGTTTTTTTTGAGACAGGATCTTGCTATGTAATTCAGACTGGCCTTGAACTCACTATGTAGCCTAGGCTGGCCCCGAACTCACAGCAATCCTCCTGCCTCAGACTCCTGAGTACTGGGATTACAGGTGTGCGCCACCATGCCCAGCTTTTCTTTTTAAATTTTAGAAGCTTTGGTTTGGTGGTTTTTGTATTAAATTTTAAAAGCAAAAACAAAATAGAGGACATTTTTAAAAACAATGAAACCCCAAGGCGATTGTGTCTCTTCACAGCAGCCCACTCTACACTGTAGGGTATATTTTTATTTTTTTCCTACTTTTAATTGGCCCAAACTTGCGCTTCAGAGCCCAGTTTTTTGCCTACTCTTATTTTTTCCCCACCCTTAATAAATATGAAACTTTAGAAAAACAAAACAAAATAAAACAAAAACACACACACACAAAATAATGAAACTCCAAGAGACAGAGGGAAGGGAGAGGGAGGCAAGGGGATATAAAAAGAATGATGTGGACCAGGATTCAGCTCAGTGGTTCCGCCACCTGACTTGAAAGTACAAGGACCCGAGTTCGATCCCTGGTACCCCCCCTCAAAAAAAGAATGATGTGTTATGTACAAGTACCAACTCCCCATAATGAATGTAATCAATATGTACCGCAAACATGTACTAATAAAAATCTTTTTTTTGGTACTAGGAATCGAACTCAGGACCTTGTACTTTCCAGGCAGGTGTGGGGCGCCACTGAGCTACATGCTCAGTTTGTACTAATAAAAATAAAAATTTGTGGGCTGGGGATTTAGCTCAGTGGTTCCGCTGCCTGCCTGGAAAGCACAAGGTCCTGAGTTCGATCCCTGGTACCAAAAAAAAATTGAAAAGACTATTACAAATTAAAAAAAAAAAAAATTGAAACTACCTGCAAACTCATTCCAACTAAATCGTTTTCATAAATGCAGTATAACTTTCAGTAAACGTGCATGTATTTTCAGTTAATCCTTTTTTTTTTTTGGTACTAAGGATTGAACTCAGTGCCTTCATACTGAGCTACTACATTCCTCAGCCTAATTTTTTATACTATCATTTAATTTTAATTTATTTTGAGACAGAGTCTTGCCAAGTCATTTAATTCCCCAGGCTAGGCTCAAACTTGCAATCCGCCTGCCTCAGGCTCCCAGAAGGTTGGTATTACAGGTGTATGCCACTATGCTAGGACAGGAATCGTCTTTTTATATACACTAACATATAAACATTTTTCTATAGATCTGTGTGTCAGTGTAGCTCATTCTTAGTTGTTTAAGCTCTTTTTTGTGCTTCTGGTTTATAAAAGCAAAATAAAAATTCTTCATGTATAATTTTTTTGTGTTATTTTTTTTGACAATTCTCAAGAGGAATTACTGAGGCCATAAGCATTTTAAAGACTCCCAATGACAGATACGCTGCTTTTTAACAAGGGTTCCCCTGATTCACAAAATGACTGCAAATACACCCAACCAGTTTCATCACCATCTCTCCAACAAATGGCATCATCAGTGTCTACTTTTGTCTACATAGCAGATACTATTTCTCAAATTTACACATTATTTGTGTTTTCCTCTTATTTGAACAGTGGGCCCAAGTTCTTTGTGATTTATCTATGAAAGTCTGTGGTTTCACCAATGAATGTGAATCAATTACTATAACAGTGACTGTGTTACCTTGAGGATGGCAGTCTTCAGGCTGTATACAAATTAGAAATGACTCATGTTCTGCATTTGCACTTTTAGAATTAAAGCACAGTAAATCTTAAAATCCTGAGCCCAGATTACTAATAGTTTTTGTTAAAGTCACTCTGTATTCTAATGATTTTTTTCAAGTGGCTACCATTTAAGGTGTATACACTGTAGAATATTGTAGAAAGATTTAAATCCTTTCTATCCTTACCCTAAATTAAACACAAACTCCATTCATATCTCAATATGCCTGTTTCAAAGAATATGTTTTTCAAATCAATATGTACTTTGTCTTGATGTAAGTTTTGTTCACTGACCAGTGCCTTGACAGATTTAATGCAAAAAATCCAAGAAATATGACCAGAACTCCCCTAAATAGTGGCTTAGATATCACAAAACTCATAAATTTAAATAACAATGATTACAACTAAAGCACCCTTTCTTCCTGCAAAAGAAAGAAAGAGAGAAACTATATTAACAAACTATTTAGAAGGCCAAATGGAAAAACAACATGAGGGCCAGGGGTGTAGCTCAGTGGCACTGTGCCTGCTTTGCAAGCCCAAGGTCCTGAGTTTGATCCCTGGTACCAGGAAAACAAAACAAAACATGAAAGACTGACTGATGTCAAAGTGGAAGGACTAAAGAAAGGTCTTCTTGTCCACTTATTCATTATTCCCTTGTTTTCAACATCAAACAGAAATCAGAAACATGAAGTATTCACTCAAAGCCAAAGGTCTGCACTTACCTTCCTGGGTTGGCTCTTTTATTTTCTTCTCAAATAATGTTCCCATTTCCTTCTCCTTCTGAAAACGGATCTGGAGCTGTTTGATCTCTAGATCATAGTCCTGCCACTCTGGGACAATTCGCACAGCAGCCTCTAGCTTAGGCTCTTTGGTCATTGGATTATTGCACTGTGAAAACCCAATGAAAACACAATCAGCTGAGCTGAAAAGATTTCATTATACAGAGTTCAAAGGTGTTTCTTGGGTCACACATCCAAACTGGTCAAAAAAGAACAGTACTGAGGAATTAAGTGATATATTATCAGAAGCAGTATGGTAGTGAGATATATAAAGCTGTATTTACTTCTTCTTCTTTTACTGATGAGACTACGGGGCCTGGTAATTTTGTTACCAGGTTCTGGGGTGCTGGAGTCCCCTTCTATAGGTGATTTCTAGGTTCTTTCTATCCTAAGCAAAGAACTGGTCAAGACAAGAACAAATGATACCAAAGTTTTATTAAAAGCAGGAAAAGAAACAGGCTCTGTAGAGTGAGTTTGGGCCAAGCAAAAGCAGGAAATGAAATACACCCTACACTGTGAGGGTGGGCCACCATACAAGAGAGAACACAGTGGCCTGTATTTACTTCTTCTACAAAGACATTGTAGGCAGCTATTCGGAGGCAAGGAAAAAAAAAAGGCAGACTGGAAAAATTATAAGGCAGAGAAGTGAGCTGGGAGATAATCAGAGACTTGGCAGAAAGTGAACAGTGAAAACTATCACATTAGATCCTAGGGGACTTGGTTTCCTGCAACAGACACAGAAGAACATACTGAAGTTTCCATATGATGCTTCATAGCCCCTAAACTACACCACTGAACAGAAGAATAAATAAAGCTCTTGTGTCAGTAAGTGCTCAGGCACCTATTACCCTGGGAAAAGATGCAGGAGAGCACCATGGACAGCTCACCAGATCGATGGTCTTGGCCCTTTTCTTAGAGGTGTCGTCACACCACGTTTCACACCAAAGCCATTCTTGAGGCAGTGACTTGATTGGTACCTGATGGATCATGTTATTGGGCAGATCCTGATTGGTAAAGAAAATAAAACACAAGAATTTAAAGTTCTGGAGAAAGTTTAAATAAATGTACAGTGAAAGCCATCAGGTTAGCTACTTATTATGTATATCATATGACAATCACAAATGCCTAGTACTAAAACCAAAAGCTTTAGAAAAATTAAGGAGTTTATTTATAGCATTTTTCAGAACTTCAAAATTTAGAAAATCCATAGCTATTAAAACCTCACAATAGGGGCCGGGGATTTAGCTCAGTGGTTCTGGCGCCTGCCTTGCAAGCGCAAGGTCCCAAGTTCAATCCCCGGTGCCAAAAAAAACACAACAAAAAACAAACAAACAAATAAAAAAATCTCACAATAAACAACCACAAAAAACTCCCCAAAATCTTTCAGCTTAAATAAAACTCACAAATAGCCCATACCTACAATTCCCTCTGTGAAGGAAATGCTAGGAAAAATATTTCTGTTCACTTTTCAAAATCAACCAAATATAGACAGGTGGTTCTTATAATTTACAATTATTCAAAAAAGATGCTGAATCCTTCTTATCTACTGAGCTTTACTCCCAAAGAGACAAGCCAACATTTTTGGAGTTTGTCATAATAAAATGTTCTATTGTCCTTAGACTTACATGGAACAAAAAACACTGATAGAATACGATGCACTGAAATTTCTAATTGTGATACTTGTAAAAAGGATCCAATCAATGATCTTTCAAACTTGAATATAATGATACAAACCCTTTCAACAAATTAAAACTTAAAACTAGCTGGGTTAGGCTGGGGATTTAGCTCAGTGGTGCCGTCGCCTGCCTCGCAAGTGCAAGGTCCTGAGTTCGATCCCCAGTACCAAAAAACTGGGGCTGGGTTAAAACACTTAAAAATTCATAACCACTAAATCACCACTCTAAAAATTCTCAAGGACATCCTAGACAGAGATAATAAAGCCAACAATGCCAAAGTCTACTGGAATGAATACATCAAACAGGGAGATCAGTTAAGCAAAGGGGAAAAATAAAGGAATCAGCAAGAGAAAAATAACACAAAGGCAGGAATAAGTCAATAGCTTTCAGTAATAACTCTCAATGTAAATGACCTCAACTCCCCAGTTAAAAGGCACAGTTTGGTAGATTGGATCATAAAAACCAATAGTATGATGTATACAAGAGATAAATTTAATCTAAAAAGAAATTTATCAAATAAAAATCAAAAAGTTGAAAACAATATTCCATGCAATGGGAGCCTGAAAGCAAGTAGGAATAGCCTATTTTCAGACAAAGTGGACTTCAACTCAAAACTGATCGGAAGAGGCAAACAAGGTCACTACGTATTTGTTAAGGAACACTTCAATAAGAAGAGACAGCAATTGTGAGTATATATACACTCAAACCCAGCGCACCCAATTTCATAAAACAAATACTTCTGGATAAAAAAGATTAGATAAACATCAGCACAATCACAGTGGGAGACCCCAATATTCTACTGGACAAAAAAATCAACAGAGAAATAAATAACAGAGTTGAACCATACCTTCAAACAAATGGACTTAATAGCTATCTACAGTGTTCTATCGAACAATAACAGAATACACATTCTTCTCAGCAGCACATGGAACTTTCTCCACAATAGAACACATACTAGCCCATAAAGCATGTTTAAATAAACATGAAAGAACTGAAATTATCCCATGTATACTATCAGATCACAGTGTAATGAAATTAAAAATTAATGGCAAAAAGAAGACTTCTAGACTTAATTGACAGATTCAGTAGAGTAGCTGGATATAACGTCAACACTCAAAAAACAATAGCCTTCTTGCACACAAATAACAGACTCACTGAGACAGAAATTAGGGAAACAATTCCTTTTACAATAGCATCCAAAAAAAATGAAATATCTAGGAATCAATCTAACAAAGGAACCAAAAGACCTCTACACTGAAAACTACAGCACTCTGAAAAAAGAGATCAAAGAGGATATAAGTGGAAAGACATACCTTGCTCCTGGGTAGGAAGAACCAATATAGTGAAAATGGCCATACTTCCAAAACTACTATATAGATTCAGTGCAATGCCAATTGAAATTCCAACAATATACTTCACAGAACTAGAGAAAACAATCCAAAAATTCATTTGGAACCATAAGAGACCTAGAATAGCTAAAG